ACACCCACGTCTGTGACCTTATTCCAACTCAGGTCGATGTAAGTGAGCGTCCTGTTGGTCTTTCACCGTCACCCCTCCGTCGTTCTGGTGGCCTCGCCGAGCCCATGGTCCATGCGACAGTAGCTGAAGTCGAGCTCGGTCAGCGCGGCGAAGGCGGCGACGTCGAGCTCCTGCAGCGCCTGGAGCCGCTCCGGTCCGGTCGCCGGTCGGGCGGGCCGCCGAGGTCGCCGAGCGAAACGGCCGCCTTCACCATGGCCTGTCCGGCGGCTTCGGCATGCACAGCTGACGACATGCACAGCTTCTGCAGCGGAATAGAGCCGAGCGCCTCCGACACGGGCCCAATCAGTTGGGCTCAGAAAAACTGGGAGAAACAAAGTGGAAGTCGAACATAGTTGAACCCTGCAAGCAGTTGTCCAATGTTGTTCAAAGGAACAAACCATATCTGAATATATACTGAATTGGAAACATATGAATTATGGCACTCTCTGTCGCTAGACTTGACCAGCCTCGAAAAAGGCCTTGGCCTCCACTTCACCAGCTTTGAAGCGTTTGATGTTCAGCACTTTGATATTCTCAAAGTGGGGCAAGGAAGCAGCCAGCTCGGCCATGTCGGCTTGGGTCAAGTCCTCCAGATTCAAGTGATTCCTCAGCACCACTTTTTGGTGAAATATTTTGCTTTGAAGCTCCACCACTGTGGACGCATCATTGCGATGCGTAAAGGCCGACGTGGCCATGCGCTCTTCAAAGACTTCGGGCGCTGTGGGCACAATCTTTACTGTGACCTGTTTGCCAGGCTCTCCGTCGATCGCAATATTCTGAGCTGGAATGCCGCGTGCAGCAGACCATTCAATTTCGGCACGACACCAGCCGCGTTCCAGGTAAAAAACAAAGTTTTCCACCAGCTCGCTGAGTGGAATCCATGCACCGCATGGTACACCAGCACTTTGTACGTTGAGTCTTCCTTCCTAGCAGTCCATGTTTCAACAGGTGTGAGACGTTCCAGGCGGAATGTCAGCGTGCTCTGGTGAGCATACATAACGTGCATGTTCGACATTGCTCGCCGGAAACTGGCCTCTTGCTCAGCCGTGTCACGTTGGAATTGAAACAAGGACAAATAGTCGTAGAAGATCCAAATGTCGTCGTGATAGGCAGCATCCCATAGCGAGACAAAATTCACGAGATTCTCCAATTGATAGTTGCAGGGATCCGGTGTTCCCGCGTTTCCCACGCGTGAGACACTGAACAAATCAATGCCTTCCTGCGACCTACCGCCCATTCGGCCACTTCCTCGTGTGAGATCAATGCTGAGACCTCCATTCCATTCACTTCACAGCAGTCGTGCTCCGCCTCTTGGCGCCGTGGCATGCACCTATTTGCAGAGAGCAACTTGTAGAGGTACCTCGAGGCACAAGACGAATGCTCTGTCAAACACACAGGCAAAGCCGATGATCCGCAAAAACACATCAGCTGGGCGAGTGGCGGAGCCCTGATCAGGCGGACGCCGGCATCGAGCAGGTATTTTGCCAGGTGCTTTGGATCTTCCAAGTCATAGGTGGCCTTCCACTTCAGAGTGCAAGCTTTCCAAGGCAAACTTTCGCAGTTGGCCAACAGACGAGACAGCGAAATACATCACGATCAATGCTTATCAATCATTGTCGATGCATCTTCGCATGGCCTCGTGCCAAGCACAAACCTGAATTTGGCATGTCGATTCGCATAGAGTAGTCAAAAGGAATTCGATACGCCTCGAGCTCGATGAAGGGAATGATATGATGGTATTCCAATCCCTGGCCTCAGCTGCAGATCAGCTGCAAATCTGTGTACCTCTTTGATCCGTAATGCTTTTCTCTCTACTAGAGTTGCAGGTAATATAGAGAGTAGGTCACTATCGGTTGTCATGGCAGCTCGGATGGTCTTCCATAGAAGACCCAAGGTCACTGGTCCAAGATGCCAAGATCGCAGGTTGATGGGCCACAAGAGTCACAGGTCCGTACTCTTGCGATCCCAGTGATCCAATTCAAAGTGCCAAGCAACTATTGGAGGGTAGATCTTTCATCCTCTCCTGCACTGAAAGCATGAGCGTGCCAAAAAAAAGCGGCTTTCAAGATATTGAAAGATCCACAACATGATAAAGTCTCCTGCACCTCCTCTTCTGAGAGGCTGCCTCAGCAGCGCTTTCAGGGAAAATGTTCCTTTCTGAAGGCAAAGCACACAGATGCCACACTCTCAAGAATCCTGAGGAAAACAGGTTGCCAAACTCAATCCAAAGGCCTATAAACATCTGCTGGCGCCGAAAGGGTCTCAATCAGTTGGACATGTGGGTCAAGGATCAAGAAATGCAGCGACATCAGGTGGACTTAGCATTTTCGTCCGATGGGATCGAGGCGACATCAGACTGCTGTCAAGGCTGTTGATATACGTCATGATGACACTCCACTGCTGCTTGAACCCCCCCAAAACAGAATCCGCGCTTGACTTGATCTTGAAGAGACATAAGTCCACAAGTCACAACTTAGTAATAGTAGCTCTCCACCGAATGCTTGTAGGGCCAATTGTTTTTTTCATTTGGGCTCAGACTGCACAGCTGCAGAATTGTGGCGATGGTTTCCCGCGGGAGAAAACCTGGGAGCTCAAGCGAACTGACTTGGTAGCCCCAAATCATACAAGTCTCCATGAAGAACTGTGAAAACATGTCCATGGCATCACTATATAGTGCTCATCACGGCAAAACAGTAAAATTGCAACAGCAACTCTGACTCTGAGGTGCAACTTCTCCCTCATTGAAGCACTGAATACCAAGAATCCTGTTTTGGGGTGCCTTTATGTTTGATTCACAATAAAGCAACTGGTGCAAACACTCTGCTTCAAAAGGCTTAGACACCGGTCTTCTCTGCATCAAAGACTTGGACAAATTGAAGTCCATCCTGTACCTGCACGTAGCTCATCTTGACAGGTCAGCTGATGTGGTGACTATAGCAACATGTGAAGACTGCAGAGCTCCTAAAATACAATCAGGGTCATGAGTCATGAGCAAATTTCACTACGAAGTTCAACACGCTGGGAGTCAATTCACAGGGAACGTGGCACAAAGCTGTGACATCCATGACATCGTAGGAAGCTTCTCATTTTGCGAGGACTACCACGCTTGGGGCTTGAAGGGCAAAAGACTAGTGCAACATAGTACACCAGCCAAATCCAGCCAGCTATGTTGGTCGCTTGGGGCTTGTTTGGGGCACAAAACACACCAAATACATTCCAAGCGCTCGCAATAATGGACCTAAATTTTAAATCATGTCAAGTCAAATGTTTAATGTTTTCAATCCAAGGCCAAACGGGACCAATGGTGCTGACCTTGCCCCACCGGGACCATCATGCTATGACTTATAATGCTTATAATTGCTTTAGCACATGCTCGTCCACTTGTCCTTGAACCGTGACACAATATGTTTTACTATGACAAACTTGGCTTGCACATTTCACTTGATCTCACTCTTCCACAACACTTTCTTTCTCGAGTTATGCTCTTTCTGCAGTATGCCAACCGCTGCTTTTAGTGCATGTCTCTACATCGTTGGGAACCTCTTCACAGGTGGACAAGAACTCACTCTGAACTCTCCTTTCTAAGTTGGTTGGATGTTGCGAATGCTGCTATACCACACTGCTATCAATTTGGAGCAACGGCTTTACGCTAAAAGTCCAACCGCCCCACTCAGTGAACACCACTCACTCACTACATAGATCCATGACGTGACCGTCGCATGACATTGACTTGACGACTGGAACCTTTGTGTGTGTATGTGTTGGGTCTTGTACGAAGTACCCGAAAGATCCCGAAGTCTTGCTGCAAAAAACACATTCATGGAACACTGATATCCGCTGTGCTCCTGTGCTCCTGTCTCACGTTGCATGCATTTCCCCAACCACAAATCGGGACCAGGCCCCCCAAAGTGGGTGACGAGATCAAATCAAAGCAGCACCTCTCACCGCCCCCGCCAAAAAAACACGGGTGAACTTACCGGACCTCTTCTTCAAGTTCTTCAGATTTTTCAGCTACCTGCACTGAGTGAAGCACTGTGAGTGAAGCACTGTGACCCTTTGCTACTCAGCCATATGGAGATGCAAATCTCTGCAGTCAATCTGCTCTTGCCTGATTCACGTCAGTTTCCACTGCTGCAGCCTGGCCCAACAGTATGGCACCGGCATGCATGAAAGCAGCATCTGAGTTTAATTGTGACTGCATCCTGAGAGCCTTTCCAAGTCATTTCCTTGCCAAAAATCCTAAATTCAATGACTCTCCAGAGAGTCGGAAAGCGGCAGCTGCCAAAACAGTTTATCAGGATATCTTCATCCCCAAAATTCTCAATGCCCAGGACTGCTCATGAAAAGTATTCGATGGGCTCCAGGCTTTTGGCTTGAACTCACGAAACATCATCTTCCCCGCTGACCGCCGTGTGGCGCCACAGAGCCTTGGCCACTGAGCCGCCACAGCCCATTCTGACCGTCCTGAAGGGAAGGAACTTGAAGGAAACGACAGAGTGCACTCAGTGATTTATGTATGGAATCAAGATACAACAGTCCCTAGTTGTACAGTATCCCCCTTTATATAGTCTCCCTTTCTTCCCCAAGACTTGAACTGAAGCCACAATTCCAAAAGATTTGAGCTCTGCTCTTATTGCATTGCCAAACTGTGTGCGTATTCTGCTGTCAAACCTGCCAAATGGATTCTGCAACGGGGCCGCCGCAAGTCAGCGGCTTTGGTTCCTCTGTCCTCCAGTCCCTTCAGGAGATCCGAGGCATTCGGCTCAGCCAGCTCAGCCTCAAATTTGAGAGGGCATCAAGCTCGCCTCCAAGCCTGTGAAACAACATGAAACAACCACTTGCCATAGATTTGTTCCGATGCCTGTTCCCGCCCTGTTGAGGCACAATCCGACCGCTGAGGCTGAGCACGGCTCGTGTAGTTGGATCAAGGCTCGTGGCACAACAGCGCATGGAGCTATGAACTTTGCGATGCAAGTGGAGTTCTAAGGAGCTGCAAACTGCGGCATGTAGAGCACCATGAGAGAAAAACGTGTGTTGAATTGGAAGAATTGATCTTGCAATCATACCCGCCTGCCCCTACAGGTCTTCCGATTGTAAATAGGAGTGGGAAAAGTTTTGCGAAACACACCTTAAAGCCCAACATATTTCCACGACAACACCTTGCACCTATTTTCTTGCTGAGCCTTTTCGATTTCAGATTGCCACCCAACATGAAGTGGAACAACACAAAGGGCTGACTGCAAATTGTGGGATCAAATTGGTGTCATCCTTGGTGTGAGGCCCACATACGCTGGAGCAGCGAAGAATGCCATGAGGACCTCAGCTGAGACAAAGACCTTCAAGAGACAGGGGAAACCGAACAGGGAAGGAGCTTTCAGGCAGTGTGAAGTTTCAGGAACGGAATGAGAACACGTGGATGTTACGTATGTTGCGGGCAAGATTCACTTTCTGTTTTCAGGCAAGAATCATCTAGTGACTGTTGTTTATATAGTTGTCAGTTCATAATATAATCTACTCCAATCACCATACCTGACCAGTCTCAACACAAGCTGACTGGAAGATCGACTCAAAAGCTCCTTGGACGCGGATCCTCCGGCCGTCCGGCACCACACTCATGGTGGTTGCGAGTGTTTGAAGTAGACCATGGAGCCATGTGACTGGCAACACCCAGTTGGCTCAGAATTGTTGGCGCCAGGCCGCGAAGGCTAAGTATCCGATAAGGCTAGTGCTTGCTCCACGACACAAATCTGTCGGCTTCTGTGGACATGATCTTCCAACCAAGCAGGTCGGTGAGTGTAGACACAAGTGCCATGGTCGGTGTGCTTTACAAGTATGTTTGACCCATGTTGAATCGCATTGACTCCGAGAATCACTGATTCAAGTCAACGACCTGTGGGGAGCTGGGAGAAATGCTGAGTTTGAGCTTCCCTAGCACCAGAATGAAAAACAACTATGGCCAAAACCATCAACAAAGCTCTTCGCAACGTGAAAACTGAGATGCGACATGGAAGAGGGTCTCCCGGGCTTCCCCCAATTCTTTCGGTGTATGGTTTGGGGTTCCATCAAGCTTCGCCCAGGTTGCTCATCAAGCTTCGCCCCGTCTTCACGCCCTGAACTTCCGACTGAGTGATCTGATGCGATCGACCGAGCAAAAAAACGTACCTCCGTGGTCGAAAGTGCATGGACCCTGGAAGACGA